ATATCTCATAATATCAATATTGCTAGCATTACAGAAACTAAAATCTCACAGAACAATGTATATGCTAAATTTTTTAGATCTCAACACTTTACTTATTATTGGTTATGTACTGATAATTGTAAAGCCAGAATAGCAATTATGATTCAAAAACATCTCAAACCACATGTTTATAAAACACTTAACTTTTCTGGATATGCTATTGCAATTGATCTCTTCTTTAAACATGACTTTAAATTCTATATTATATCAGTCTACCTACCTTGTGATGACCTTCAACTTAGACTTCTTATCCAAAACAATATTATACAATGAATTCAAGAAGCAAATACAAACAATATACAACCAATTGTCATGAGTAACTTCAATATCTCTGACAATTTACAATCATCTTCTATCAAACTTAAACTTATTCATTTTCTTCAACACAATAACATATATAATTTAGCAAAACATACATAATCCTTAACTCCTACATGGCATAGTAGCAGATATAGCAGTTGTATTAACTATATTTGGACTAATCATGCTATTATCTGATATCTAACCTCTTATTATACAGATGATGCCAACCAAAGTACACTTAGTGACCATGTTATACTGATATCATTCTAGGAATTTTCTTATGCTATTACTGAGAAATGATGATCAGCAACCAAAACTAAGTATAGAATATTTGCTTATAAACAAATGAAACAAGACCTTTGGCAAAACTTTACTGACCAAGTTACATCTAACCTTCATAACAACAATGTTTCTTCTACAACTAATACTACAGAATCATTTGAGGCCACTTGGCACAAAATTTAAACTAGTATTATTTCAGTTGCCCTTTAACATATCCTAAACAAAAAATTTACTATCTGAAACTTTCAATACATCTTTTCCTCCAATGCATCCAAACTATATTCTGGACTCAAAAAACTTGGCAACATCATAAGACAAGTTAAAGCAGCATTTCACAATCATACCTCTGTGCCTATACTTTATAATCAAAATATTGATCAACTTAATTTTCTTTATCATCTCAATATACCTGCACTGTCTCAAGATCTTAACCTTCTACCTGACTGAATAACTGCAGCCAACACAGAGTAAAAAACACTCTATCATGTACACAATCTAGAAAATATTAAAAACATAAAGAACAAATTAATGACAACATAGCCAAAAAATGCACTAAACTTCAAAATAGTCCAACATCAATGATCAATAGTATACTTAACTGACACAAAGATCCTATCAAGTTTGACAACATTAAGGAATCAAACAACATTATCACTGAACCATTATTCATTAAACAACACATCCAATAACATTTCAATGATTGAACAACTCCCAGAAACATCTAATTACAATTATTCAACACAATGTGACAGCAAGAATATCAACCTAAACCAAACATTGATCCTACATAGTATCAACTAGCATTTAAGAAATTCTCTTCTATAGAAGTTTTTGAAGTCATCAATCAACTTTCTAATAACAAAGCATGTGAACCATCAGGCATTAGCTATGAGATGATCAAACATGCTAGAACAGTATTTCTTAATATGTTTACAGCTCTTCTTAATCATTGTCTTATATCTGATCAAATCCCAAACTAATAGAAAAAAGGAAGAATCTTTTCTATCTCTAAAAAACCTATCTTTGATGGCAACTTAACTAATACCAGACCTATTAGTTTACTTGAATACATTAAAAAACTCTATACCAAACTTCTCATCAACTGACTTAACTATATCTTTACTTATTACAAAATTTTGTCACCTTTTAACTATATAGCTTTACCTGGTAACAGTACAGCTATTTCTATACATATACTTAATAACATTATTGAAGAAGCTTCCTGTAACTCCAAATAACTTTGGCTCTTATTTTAGAACATAAGCAAAACTTACGATTCTGTAGACCTTATATTCTTTACCAAATCTTTATTATGTCTACATATGCCACTTAATCTTATCAATATTCTTACTAATTTGATTACCAATCGACAAAACCAAGTCATTACAAATTTAGATCTTACCAACTTCTACAATGTTAAAAATAGTATCGATCAAGAAGAAACTATAACCTCATTGTTCTGGAGAATTTATTATAACCCTCTCATAAATAAAATAGCTTCAGACTTTTTAGGATACACTTTGGCTACAAAGTGGAATACTAGTTTGCTCCGACCAAAACCTCAACAACTTCAAACCTTAGTATTTATATTAGCATATATGGATAACACACTTCTGATAGCAAAATCTAAAGAAGAATTACAATCAATCATTGTCACAGCTACCTCCTTTTATCATATAGCAGACATTCAAATTAACCTAACTAAATCAATTCTTACATCAAACACATCATCTACAGCTCTTATCCACTTTTTTAGCTCATCACTTATACCAATTCCCATCAACCAACTATTTAAATTTTTAGGATGTTGGTTCACTCTTAATAATTCATATACAAAACAAAGCCAACTAATTTATGATGAAGCAATCCAGCTCATCATTGTTACTGACACAAAAAGAATTACAGACAAACAAGCTATTTATATTACTAACACTGTAATCATTCCTACTATTGAATACAGATTATATAATATTATTTTTAAACATTCTACTTGTGATAACATTTTATCTAAATACCTTACTATAATCAAACATAAAGTTAAACTTTCTTGTACCAGTTCTAACAGCACTATGCTTAATCCTTATATATATAATATATATAATATCTGGAATATTCAACTATAACATTATATATTCTGCTTTTAGCAAAGAATTAATGATCCTGAGATTCTTGATATTTCTACCAAAATCCATTTATAGCAACTTTAAAACAACCTTTAGTCTGCTATTAACATTCTTTAGCACAGCCAATTACTAATAGATGGACCTAACAAACTTACACTTAACTTCAAAATCATATAACTTCTACAACACCTTGGCATATCAATTTTTGCCAACTCTAATGTTCTGTAGTCTAATACTTTTTATGATAGATATCAACTACTAGAACTGATACTTAGTCAACATCCCAAATACTATACTTTCAGAAAACAACTTTAAAAAAACAATATACTTTACTTAGAGCAATTAAGTACTGCAGACAATAGTACATTACTTAAATAGTACTATCTTTTACCAAGACTTCACAATCTAACAAAAGGAAGGCAACCTCTCTGGTTTACCTACCTGGAAGATACAATTTTATCTAACAGACTACATCGCCTAATTTTTCCCTATTTTCAACCTCCAGGAGTTAATGCTTTTGCATATAATTTTTTACCAATCAAGAAAAAACTTAAACCTTGACTACTTACCTACAATAATAATAATAAAAAGATCATTATTGACAAAATTCGCAAATATTTTTTCAACACAAACCAGTTTTCTATCTCACATTGGAACACAAATATTGATTTAAAACATAATCACTATTACATACTCCCAGATTTAGACTGCACACTATGTATTAGATGCTATCTTAACTTAAATAAAGTTAAGCAAATATGCACAATTAACATCTTAGCAACTATCTGTACTAGCTTTTTAGGAAGAAAAACTCTTAAATTCAAATTCAATGCTAACTACTTGGATTTTATTTATTCAACAGCAATTAAACATTCTTTATGAGTTCCTCATAACTATCCTACTATCAATATATTAAATTCAACTATTACAAAAATCTTTAAACCCAATGACTGTTCAAACAAACTCGAAGAAATTTTTCTAAACAATTTATCTTATAAGGAATTTACTTTCTATACAGATGGATCAGTATCTGATATTAGAACTGAACAAAGCTCAATGGGCATTAGATAAGTCCAAATTGATAGTAACAACCAAGTTTTTTATAAATTTTTAGCTAAAATTCATTTTTGGCTATCAGCTTATAAGGCAAAGCTCTTTTCTATCCTATCTGCTATCTCAACTGTATCTCATAATGCAACACTTCAAATCTATACTGACTTACAATTAGTCATATTTAAATACTACAAACTTTCTACACAACTTAATAATTCTAACAAACTTTTTAAATTTAATATATAGTCATTATAGCATACACTTCTTAATATCATCAAATCTTTCAATTTAAATATCAACTTTTATAAAGTTTAAGCTCATACAGATAATATCTTTAATAACATGACTAACTTCTTAGCAAAACAACATACCTTCTACTTGTCTTTAAACTTTCAATATACAAACATTTACAACTCTTTTTATATTTTACAATGGAAACAAAATCCTGTTGAGCTTCTTACCTGATACTTTATCAAAAATATAGTTCATCCTCACTATAGCAGACTTCGTTAAACTGGATTCTATGCTATAATGAAGTGATTTATCAGAACAAAAAATTTAATATTTATTTCCTTTCACAATTACGGATTTTCATATAATAATATACTATAATGGTTATAGTTTGAATTGTATTGTCTAGCATATAGAGAAATTCTTGCTATAATGGATTTGTGATATTTATGGTTATTATGAACCAATCAGATTATAAGATTATAATAATATATTACAACTAATAAAAGTTTTTTGAGCTTGCTAATACATACCTGGTACATATATATTGTATATACTATATGATATAATATATCTAATTTAAAAGTTAAAAGTATTTTTTAAAAACTTTATCTCAAGCTTGCTTTAAGTTTTCATACATTAAATCAATAAATAAGAGTATTGTCTTTAGTAGTTTTGCCTCAATAAGGTATTAAATATAAATCTGAAGTATTGACTTTATCAAAAATATCTTGTACAACTTTTTTTTTTTAAAAAAAAAATCTTTTTGTGCTCAAATTTTTTTTTTATTTTTATTTTTATTTTTTTAAAAAAAAAAACAAAAGAAACCTTTTTGTGCTCTAAATTTTTTTTTTTTTGAAAAAAAAAAAAAATTTTAAAAAAAACTTTTAAACCTAAAAACTCAGAAACCTTGAAACTCTGAAAACTAAAAACCCTAAAAATCTGTAAACATTTTTTTTTTAAAAAAAAATGTCTGCTGGAATTAATAAAATGCTTATTCTTGATGAAAAATGCAAGCATGCAGCAATATCAGGTTCGACAAAACAAGAAATTTGTCAAAAGCTTTCTGCATATAACCCTCCTAAACAAAAAGATCTAGTGCTTTTATATAATATTTCTGAGCAAGCTGTATCTGATATTTGGTAAGATAAAAATAAGTAGCTTCAACTTGAAGTCAATAAATATAATGTGCAATTAAAAAAGAATGTCAACCAGGATTTCTAATGATTGAAAAAGTTTTAAAAAGATGGTTGCAATATGCTTTCGCAAAACAAATAGTATTAACAGATGAAATTCTTATAGAAAAGGCTAAAAATATTACTTCTAGTATTAGAGAAGAACAATTCCATAGTTTAAAAGGGTGGCTAGCATAATTCAAGTTACAATATGGTATAAAGATGTACTTAAAAGTTGGTGAAGATAGAAGTGCACTATCAGAAGCTGAGCTTAATGCATAACAATGAAGGTTACATTCTATTATCACACAATACTCATTGGATAATATATAGAATGCTGATGAAACAGGAGTTTTTTAGAAACAAGAGCCAACAAGAACTCTTGCTACTAGTCTTCAACAAGGTCATAAACTTTCAAAAGAATGAATTACATGCCTTATCACTTGTAATGTAACTAGAAATCAAAAATTAAAATTACTATTTATTTATAAACATAAAACACCACATTTACTTCATAATATTAACTATAATAAACTTCCAGTTTCTTACTTCTGAAATAAAACCTGTTGAATGCAGGTGTAAAAAAATAAAAATTAAAACAATATTAATTAAAATGCATTATAATATAATTAGTTATTTTTTCAAAAAATAACTAATTGCACTATAATACATTTTAATTACCTTATTTTAAAACTATGAATGCTAATTAATTTTTATACAGATTTTAATCTGGACAAGAATATTAAAAAATTGGAATAAACAACTTAGTAAAAGTGGCAAAAATATTCTTCTTATCATTGATGATGCACCAGTATATCACTTAAAAGAAAATGTTAAACTGAACCATATTTGTATTGAATTCTTGATGCCTAATGCTACTGCTCATATTCAACTCTGTAATCAGAGAATTATTCATTTTTTTAAATGTTTTTACAAAAAAAGTTTTATAAGAAATAGAATCGATGCATATGATTCTGTTCGAAATAAGTCAAATAAGGATCTACCAGACTTTACTATTCATGATGCTATTTACCTTGCAGCTGATGCTTAGAAAAATGTGACTTCTGAAACTATTAAGAATTGTTGGAAAAAAGCTAAAATTCTTCCTTCTGATAAAAACAATGTTATACTATCTACACAGTCTTCAAATATTGAATATGAACAAATTTATGAATTGAATGAATTAATTACAAAACTCCCAATTAATAACCCTCTTAATGCTAATGAATATTTATATTTGGATGATATTCTACTAATCAAAGAGATACCAGATGATATGATTTTAATTGAACAATTTCATCATAAACATGAAAATACACAATCAGACGATGATGATAATGATGCTTGTTTAACAGAACCTTCACATAAGATTTCTTTACAAGAAGGAAGTCATATTGCAAAAGAATTAGTAGAATTTTTATTACAGCAACATAGTGAATTTGGAATTTCATCTGAAGAATTAGGTGTAGTAAGATGTGTAAGTGAAATTATTAGGTGTAAAGAGATGAATGCAAGACATCAGGTGTCATTAATGCAGTTTTTTAAATAATATATAGATTTATACAGTATTAAATAAACTAATTTTTGTTTAACAAGCAATTAAATTATTTGAATAAATTTATTAAGATATTTATTACAGTTTGCAAAATTCTGTAAATTTTGCAATTATTAAAAAAAAATCAATTATGATTAATGATTATAAACTTTAGTATTTAAAATATTAAAGTTTAATTTAAATTTTAAAAAAATATATAAAAAAAATTAGAAATCGGAAATCAGAAATTACTAATCATTAATCATAATCATAGTGGCATGCTATTTTTTCAGTAACAAGTAGAAATATATCTGATCCAAACTGTGAAGAATTAGTAATAATAATTCATTTGTGATCTTATTTGTGACATTGACTGTTAAATAATTTTTATGTGCTATATACCAAGTATAGGATTAAGTTTGGATTGGGTATATTTCCTTCTGTTATTTACAACATATTTTTTAAAAAAATATATAAGCTTTAGTCTTTAAACCTCAGTTGTTTTATATTTAGTATAAAATACTATCTTATTTTTAAAATTTAGATAGCATTTAATTGTACTACTAGTAGCATATAATGATCCATATGGTTTGTTACTTTCAGAGCAAAATAATAACAGAAATTAAAATTTTTAAAAAAGTTATTTTAAAAATTAATTATTTAATCATGTCTAACTATTTATTCCAATTGGGCTTTAGTACTATTTTTAAAGATTTTGGGTAGGTAAAAATTGTTGCTATATGATTACCCAAAATTCATAATAATTTTACTCAGATAATTTAGGTAATTTAATAATACTTAGGTAAAAATTTTCTAAACAGGTTCAATTTCTATAATAAAAAATAATATAATATAGGCACTTTTTAATAAATATAATTGGTCAGATTTACTATACTGTATATTACCAAGGTTTAGATAGTAAATCTGTTATAACATAATAACAGATATTCATTATAACATATGGAATTTTTTAGCCCAACCAATTTGCTATAGCAAGGGTGAACTGTATTTGCAAAGCTCATATATTAGCAATGTGGTTTTTATAAAAAAGAAACAATGAATAGTCCTATATTAACTATTACATAGACTGGCAATCAACATGACTATATCTTAATCATAACCAAAAACCCTCATCCAACTTTACTAGTTTCAAACTTAATCAATCCAAAGCCTTTAAAATCAAAACTCTACTGAATGAATTACTAATATATTTTTCTTTTCACAACATTTATCCAACTATCTTTACAAATACTAACTGCTTCTGATGTAACCTTTCTGACTCTTACTCATACTGGCTAACTTGTCTCAACCCTTCTCTTATAACAAACATTATTAATTCATCAATTCAGAATATTTTATCTAAAGCAGATCTTAACTTATCTACTAGCCAACTTCATAAACTTATCTAAAAAGTCCAAAAACATCCTTTCTTTGATCGAATACTATTTCAAGCAAACTCCTTCTATCTGGATCTTATTCTTAAAGGCCTTATACCTAACACTTCAATTAAAACAATCTATAACTACAATATACCAACTAAGATAGTTTTACAAATTATTATTCAAATACTTTTTGATATCAATGATCAAATTTACAACCAAATATGGAAACCATATTGCATTGACCTCTCTAACTGGAAAAAGAATAACAATATTACATCTCTTCAAACTCGTAATACTCACAATACTTTACAACAAATACAACAAACCAGATATTACAAAAGATCACATACAAATTACATATACTTATGTCTATGTGGAATAGCAGATCAATTACACCTATATTCTAATACTTGTCCACCAATTAGACAAGCTATTAGAAAAATTAATATATGGTCGACACTTTGGATTAATCATAGCACATCTTATAATCATATTTTAACATTACAAATCTAGGTGGGCCTTGACCACCATAG